CCGATCACCCCACTTTTTGCAGGGATCCCAGATGGGACCCGGGGCATCTAGCAATGTAGGTTTCAACCCTGTAACCACTTCCCTTCCAGGGGTGCTGAGCCCCAAAGTGTAACCCCCCTGAATGTAATATGGTTTAATGTGTATCCCTGTGTACTGTTTGGTATCTCCCGGGGCAGGAGATGGCTATCTGTAACCCAGCCCCCATCCTGCCTGGGACTAAGGGAAGTGTGTTGTGTGGAATGGAGACCTCCTGCTCAAGAAGCCTGTGCTCAATAAAGTCAGTCAGTATTTAAACCTCCAAAACTGTGTCGTTCGGTTATCGGAGGGAAAGAAGATTTACTCCTTTGTCTGCTGTTTCAGCTTGCAGGGGATGCAATGGGGAATAGTCCTTGTAAGGACTAAGAGCTTCCAGGGCTCAGTGTCGTCTCTGCCTGGGAGCGCATAGAGCTAAGTCCCCTAACCATTATTATTTTATTATTTATATAGCGCCATCAGATTCTGTACTATGTACAATGGGTTGCAAGCGTTCCTGGTCGGGTGAAGGAAGGGAACTAACGGGAGGTAACCGGTCGGGTTACTGGAAGAGGTCCCGATACAGCAGCTTCCTAAAATAACCCGGGAAATGCACGCTTTTATTGCACCTTGTAAAGAATCCCTGACCTCAACATAAAAATTGCAGGTCTAGCAGTCAAGGACATGCTGGGCTGAATAAATGACAGAAAATGGTAATTAAATAAAACATAACCATTACAGTACATTGAAATGAAAATAAAATGTTAACCATGGACAGAAAGAGGGGGTCATATTTAAACTAGAGTGCCCCTTTAAAGCAGTCAAAGTATCATGGGAGTTGATGTCCCTGAAAGTGTGAGTGTGGTGGGAATGTGTGTCCATTTACAGACGTAGAAGGAGAAGGGAGTCTGGCGGAGATTCTGTTCGGGGTGCAATCAGGGGGGAGTTAAGTTGAGTGTTAGGTTATGCTGTGACGCCTTTTTAAGGAAACAAAATGTAATACTTATTAACTTCTTAATGGCTGCATTAAATGGTTAACCATGTCAATCATAGTCCCACCGTTCCAATACTTTCTGACATCACATTTACTGTTATCAGCTACTTCACATTAAAGGTCTTGGCGACCACCAGAAAGGACCTGAAAGCTTTTTCTGAAAATTAACCAAATGTAAGTGTGAGTGCGTGAGCAGAACAAAGGCCACAGACAGCGCCCTAACTCCATGAGAAGAAACGTTAACCCAATACCTGATACATTTTCTGTAAATTAGCGCTTTGTTAACCTGCTATATAAATCACTGCCCACCCTACCCCCTCGTTTTTTAAATGATTAAACGTTTTATCTTATTCTGGCCCAGGACAAGATTCCTCACTTTAATTAGGTAATTACGGAATAATCCCCCCAAATAAAAATCCCTCCAAATAAGAATCTCCAGCAATAAGAAGAAAAAATAAAACTCCAATGCCGCTGTGTTATATAGGGTTTGCATACACAACATACAGATACACAATATACAGGAGATAGATACACAATATACAGATACACAATATACACATACACAATATACACATACACAATATACACATACACTCACATATAAAGGAGATAGATACACAATATACAGATACACAATATACAGATACACAACATACAGATACACAACATACAGACACACAATATACAGATACACAATATACAGATACACTCACATATACAGGAGATAGATACACAATATACAGATACACAATATACAGATACACTCACATACAGATACACAATATACAGGAGATAGATACACAATATACAGATACACTCACATATACAGGAGATAGATACACAATATACAGATACACAATATACAGATACACTCACATACAGATACACAATATACAGGAGATAGATACACAATATACAGATACACTCACATATACAGGAGATAGATACACAATATACAGGAGATAGATACACAATATACAGGAGATAGATACGCAATATACAGATACACAACATACAGATACACTCACACATAACGGAGATAGATACACAATATACAGGAGATAGATACACAACATACAGATACACTCACACATAAAGGAGATAGATACACAATATACAGGAGATGAATACACAATATACAGATACACAATATACAGGAGATGAATACACAATATACAGATACACAATATACAGATACACTCACATATAAAGGAGATAGATACACAATATACAGGAGATAGATACACAATATACAGATACACAATATACACATACACAATATACACATACACTCACATATAAAGGAGATAGATACACAATATACAGATACACAATATACAGATACACAACATACAGATACACAACATACAGACACACAATATACAGATACACAATATACAGATACACTCACATATACAGGAGATAGATACACAATATACAGATACACAATATACAGATACACTCACATACAGATACACAATATACAGGAGATAGATACACAATATACAGATACACTCACATATACAGGAGATAGATACACAATATACAGGAGATAGATACGCAATATACAGATACACAACATACAGATACACTCACACATAAAGGAGATAGATACACAATATACAGGAGATGAATACACAATATACAGATACACAATATACAGGAGATGAATACACAATATACAGATACACAATATACAGATACACTCACATATAAAGGAGATAGATACACAATATACAGGAGATAGATACACAATATACAGATACACAATATACAGATACACAATATACAGACACACAATATACAGATACACTCACATATAAAGGAGACACTCTGTGTAGAGGGAACCGGCGTTCACGGACAAATCTGCAAATAAACATAAAAAGGGAATTTAATACATTGTACAGTCTCTGGACACATGTTGATTTAATCAGATAATTAATAAAATGAAGCAGTATTAAAACATAAAACTTCAGAAATCACCAGAGCCTGGAATCTTCCTCTGATTTGGGATATTGGTTCCGGACTGTCTGATCCCACAGGTTTTATCGGAGAATAAAAGTCATTCCCAGAGTTCTAGCAAGCTGGAATCTTGGTCCAGGGTTACTGGAACATGGTCTGCAGCTCCTCCCAAGCAGAGAAGGGTCCGCTCCAGAAAATTCTGCTCACTTTCCCCTATTCTGGAATGAGTCTGCGAAACATGAAACAGGAGCTATGAGTGAGAAATACAGAAATATTCCCAGTCCTCACATTCTGCTCATTTTACATCCTGACGGGCAGAGAGACTAATGACTCACCCTGAATCAGAGTATTATACATTACTGGGCAATGTCATTATCATGCAGCCACTTCCTGCAGCTTGGACAGACTCCTGGTACCCTAAATCATATACCCCCTTATATTATACATTACTGGGCAATGTCACATCATGCAGCCACTTCCTGCAGCTTGGACAGACTCCTGGTACCCTAAATCATAGACCCCCCTTATATTATATATTACTGGGCAATGTCACATCATGCAGCCACTTCCTGCAGCTTGGACAGACTCTTGGTACCCTAAATCATAGACCCCCCTTATATTATACATTACTGGGCAATGTCACATCATGCAGCCACTTCCTGCAGCTTGGACAGACTCCTGGTACCCTAAATCATAGACCCCCCTTATATTATACATTACTGGGCAATGTCATTATCATGCAGCCACTTCCTGCAGCTTGGACAGACTCCTGGTACCCTAAATCATAGACCCCCCTTATATTATACATTACTGGGCAATGTCACATCACGCAGCCACTTCCTGCAGCTTGGACAGACTCCTGGTACCCTAATTCATAGACCCCCCTTATATTATATATTACTGGGCAATGTCACATCATGCAGCCACTTCCTGCAGCTTGGACAGACTCTTGGTACCCTAAATCATAGACCCCCCTTATATTATACATTACTGGGCAATGTCATTATCATGCAGCCACTTCCTGCAGCTTGGACAGACTCCTGGTATCCTAAATCATAGACCTCCTCCTTCAGCAAACTTTTCCTCAAAATCATGGACTTTCTAAACCTTGACCCAACATTCTAGATCACTTCTTTACAACACAAACTCAGATCACGTATCTACATCATGAATTTCCCCTCTAGAACTGAACCCACTGTAGTGGAACCCCCGTTAAACTGTCTTCTGACCAGATTACCCTGTAATGTGTGCAGGGCCGGATTAACATAGGGGCTGATGGAGCTGCAGCTCCAGGCCCAGGCCCACGGAATAGGCCCATTTAAAATTAAAATTAAATTTTTTTTACTTTTTTAATTTTATTTTTTTACACACACTACTGTTAGGTTTGCCACCTGACTGGTGTTTTACCAGCACAGCCGGTATTTGAGGCTGCATGGCCATGCCGGTATTGCAGTTATACCGGCAATACAAATGTTGGTATTTTTCTCAGTATAAACAAGAGATTACTCTGCAATACCAGCACTGGCCAGTAGGGGGTCACTGTGTGTGGAGACAGGCAGGGATAGGAAGTTCCAGCATATCCCTCCCTGCCTATCTATACTCACTGATCTGCAGGGGTGCAGCTATAGAGAGTCCAGACAGCAACTCCCATCCTGCAGAGACAGCCTACAGCTCAGGGAAGTAAGGGATGGGGGGGAAATACAGCAGGGAAACATGGGGGCACTGTGAGATATGGGGATGCTGAGACACATGGGGACATTGGGAGACACACTGAGACACAGAGACACATGGGACACAGTGTCCCCATGCCTCCAAGCCAGTGTCCCTATTGTCTCAGTGTCCCCTAGTCTTCCAGTGTCCCCTAGTCTCCCAGTGTCTATGTCCCCATGTCTCTGTGTCCCTAGTGTCTCAGTATCCCCATGTCTCCCAGCCAGTCCCCCTAGTGCCTCAGTGTCCCCATGTCTTCTAGTGTCCCTATGTCTCCCAGCCAGTGTCTCTAGTGTCTGTGTCCCCATGTCTCCCAGCCAGTGTCCCTAGTGTCTCTGTGTCCCTAGTGTCTGTGTCCCCATTTCTCCCAGTGTCCCCATTGACTTCCTGCTTCACTGGACACTGCTGTTAGGGGGTATGGATTTACTTGAAAGATTAAAGCATAAATTAGAGAGAGATTAGCATAGATTATGTGTTTTCTTAAAGCTGCATCCTTTGAGTTTCCCTCCAACACCATCTCCATTAGATACTTGACGCTTGAGAGGTATGACTGTTTTAGTGTCTATGGTCGATAAAATTCTTGTCATGACTGCTAGTGTGGTCCAGCACGCAGAACTATGTAACATCTACATAGACCGAACAGAAAATGATAAAACGTAAACCGGTCCTTAGAATGGCTGGACTAATACGTTAAAAACAGAGAATGGCCAAGGGAACCAGAAATATACAATACCATTTAACAAGCCAAGTCAGGGAAGCCAGGAATCAGAATAGTCAGGAAAAGCCAATGTCAAAATACTGGGAATATCAAAAACAGGACAAGGAAACGCACTCTCAGGATTCAGGAACCAGGAACGAAAACCACAACAGGGCAATAACCTAGGTTAAATATCCCTCTGGCCTCTGACTGCAGAACGTGTTTGTGACCCTGGAGGGCAGAGCTATATCTAGCTGCGACAGCATGTTCGGCACCATACTGAAACTGGGCAGGCAGCCGGGAGAACCCGACTCGCCGCTGAGCATGTAAGCTAAGTTTGTTGGCGCGGTCGCGCTCGTCCGGTGCAACTGCACCTCTCGGCGAGCCGGGGGCCGTGACATTTCTGTAATTAGGCCCCATCATAATTGTCAGCACCAGGCCCACTGGGCTCTTAATCTGGCCCTGAATGTGTGTGTGCTGTTCTGACATCCTTTTTGTGTGTTTCCCTATATTTCATTTGTTGTTTGTCGAGAGAGCCCTTACAAACGGGGACCACCCCAAGATCCCATTTAGAATGTTTAGTTAGAACGTTCATGTGACGGTTTCCCTATCCCTGGATTATCATACTGTTAATTTTTGCTTATTTGATAAATTGAATAGTTCAGCATATGAGACTCACCGAACACCTGAGACCCATCTAGTTCATATACCGAACAAACTACCAAACAGCCTGACCACCCAAGGGAGGCGTGTGCTGCTCATTGACCCTTTTCACCCTTGCTCGCACCTCAGTAACCGCAATAACCTCGATTATGTTATGTTCTGTACTTTTTTATTGTATTTGATACTCCTCAAAGAGATTTCCATGGAAATCCTGAACCAATCTGGATGATTTTTGGATATGTTGGTCCCCCAGATCAGAGGACACGACTATATTGTGGTTTCCATGTGTTTTGGGGGTACTTTTAATATATGTTCTAAAAATGTGTGTTTTTGTGTCTAGAGATAATTGAGTTTAATACAGTGCTTGACTTAATTATCTCCCAAGCATAGGGGAGGGATTGACCTATTTTGTATGGGAGTGTCCTGGACCTGAGAGCCAATGTAATTGTGTAAATGTTTTTACTGTAGTCTACTCTCAGGTCTAGGGTGGAGTGCCCCTTGCATGGGGACCTGCATATAAGGCCAGTTGTGGCTACCAATAAACAGTTCCTGCTTACCCTCAACATAGACTCTCATCTTATGTTTGTAGGGAACCGCTATACCAACTATAATCACCAGCTTTTGTAAGAGCTACACAGCTATATTGCTTGGATGATCGTGCTGGGGATTTCGACAGCATTACTCTGAATAGGGGGTAAGAACATCTCTGGTGGTGAAACCCCCTCTTCCTCTCGGGGTGTCCGCCACAGTTCACACCTTCCTAACGAGGTGGGAAAACCGCAAATGAAGCCTCAGCGCGTGCCGACCCTGGGTGGTGGCCCATTCGTTAGACAAATGCCGCCCAGGGGGAGTATTCGTGGATCGCATTTTATCTCGTTCTGTTCACGAATGAGGATCTCCCCAGTGCCCAATCTTAGAACGCAGGTAACATAAGTGTGAAACCGCAAGGGAAGTAATTAATGAGTGCTTCCCCTGGGTGGCCGCCGTTCGTATGGACGAACGCCGATCAGGGGGAGCATTCGTATCCCAAAAAGACACCTACCTTGCCTCGTTTCACACAGGGACTTCACGAACAGAGGAGGTTTGCACTGGACACCGTTGTGGGGGGTCACTGAGATTGGTGGGGACAATGGTGGTTTGGCGGGTTCTCTGTAGCTGGGAGTCAGAGGCGTGAATCTTTCCCGTGCTGGGACTCCCAGGTACAAAGGCTCATGGGATAAAGACCCCTGGTCACCAGAGGTGGGAAACCCTGAAGATGGGTGGTAGGAACTAGGGACAAAGGGACTAGAGTGGGAGGGGGAGAACCGTGGAGGGGGACACTGGATGGCGGGAACAGGGGACTGAGGTTCTGGTATGTGACTCTCGGGAGGGGGAGGACCCTGTGCAGATCCCTAGGTCCTGGCCAGGACCAACAAGAACTGTTTCAAGTGCCACCAACCTAGGCACTACCAAAGGAGCTGTCCCCAAACTTGTCCACAACACCAGTTCAATACCCTAGTGGCGCCCCACCCGCAGAAAGCAACAGCACATTGCTACCAGAACACTGGTCCGGTGTCCCCAACCCCCAGCGAAGCAGCATGGGCCTGCCTTCATGAAGTTGGACCCCTGCAGGCTGCCCACAATAACCGGAACCATCACCGGCAACCGGTCCAGCTGAATGGCCACACAGTGCAGGGTCTGAGGGATACTGGGGCCACGCTGACCCTCGTCCATTCCCCACTCATCCCCGTGACCCAAAAGACCGGAGGAACAGTCGCATTTCGGGTAGCCAGAGGAGAAGTGCATTGCCTTCCTACAGCACCAGGTCCACCTTGATTGGGGGGCAAGGAGCAGAAGGGTAACAGTCGGCCTCATAGATGGGCTACCTGCAGAGGTGCTTCTTAGCAACAACTTGGGTCACCTCACCTCCACCTATGTGAACCATCGAACTCCCGAAGAGGCCCACACTGTGACCAGACAACAAGCCCACAACAGCCAGGACAGCTCACACTCTAAGGCTCAGGTAGGCTCACATAACTATCCCCAGTTTGCCATAGGAAGAAACCCAGAGGTACCCCCTGCACATAGGGCCCCTGCCACCCCCTGTACCAGGACCATCCGGGCTCACATCTTAACCCCTGCGCCCAGGGAGTCACCTCCTACCCAGGGCCCTGTACCCTGGCCGAGTTTGAGGGGGAGATAGTACTAGACTTTATGCTCCAGGGCTATACAGGATTGGCGGCCTCTGGGCAGGACAGGGAACAGTTCACATGGGATCATGGGTTCATATACCACAAAGCGGAGATCAGGAAGCCAGGAACCGTTCCTACCACCAAACAGTTGGTGGCTCCCCAAAAATAAATCACCCCAAGCTATTGAAGATAGCTTACGATATTCCCCTGGATGGGCATTTGGGAATGAGCCGTACCAAGCATCGGCTCACCAAAAGCTTTTTCTGGCCAGGCATCTCCAAGGATCTAAGGCAGTACTGCCAGACCTGCGATGTTTGCCAGAGAGTAGTGAAGAGGGGCGACCGGCACAAGGCCAAGCTCTATCCCCTACCGGTCATTGAGGATCCCTTCGGTAGGGTAGCGGTCGATATCATAGGTCCCCTGGCCTACCCTAGTCCCTCCGGGATGAAAAACCATTTTGACCGTTGTGGACTATGCGACTCGTTACCCTGAGGCAGTCGCCCTGAGCAACATTCAGGCAGAGACTGTGGCCGAAGCCCAGATGTGGGTGTTGTCCCGGATGGGTTTTCCCCAGGAGATCATCTCGGATCAGGGCTTGCGATTTACTGCCGAGATAACAAACCAGCTGTGGAGGATATGCGGCATTAAATCCATCCGGAGAACCGACGCCGGTTGCATGTAAACATGCTAAAACCCTAGTGGACAGGCAGGGTCCATATCGGAGGTCCACTTTGGGGGACTGGCTAACCCAAGAGGAAGGCGCAGCGGATGCTGAAGGCTACTGGAAACGTTCTCCAATCTCCCTGGGGTGACCACTCTGGCCACTCACAGGGTAGAGACTTCAGGTCAGCCACCCCTGCAGCAAAGCCCATACAGAATCCCAGACGCAGTACATGAGAAAGGAGATGCTCCACCTAGTGGTCATCAAACCGTCCAAGAGCCCTTGGGCCTCCCCGGTAGGGCTGGTCCCCCAAGCAAGACGGTACCACCCGGTTCTGTGTGGACTACCGGAGGCTCAATGACAAGATGGTCTCAGATGCCTACCCCATGCCTCGCATTGACGAGCTGTTAAACAAAATGGCTCAGGGCAGATACCTCACCAGCAAAGATCTGTGCAAGGGGTATTGGCAAATACTCCTAGCCGCGGAGGCTATTCCAAAGCCAGCCTTTGTCACCCCATTTCGCCTGTACCAATTTCGGGTAATGCCATTAGGGATGAAGAATGCCCCAGCCACCTTCCAGAGGATGGTGGACCGGTTGCTAGAGGGTCTCCAGGAGTATACCTGTGCCTACCTCGATGATATCGCCATATTTAGCGATGCCTGGGAGGAACATCTAGCCCATGTAGGAGCAGTGCTGGATAGGATCAGAGAAGCATGGTTGACACTGAAACCAAGCGTCACCTCGAGATGGTGGAGGTAAAGTACTTAGGGCATCGGGTGGGGTGTGGGACAGAAACCTGAACCGTCCAAGATAGAGGCGGTAGCTAGCTGGCCCCTGCCTGCGGATGCCTCCCAGGGACCTTTGCGTGCGACAGGAACTCTAGTCCCTTTGTCCCCATTTCCCGCCACCCATCCTCAGGGTTTTCCACCTCAGTTCCCTAAATCTAAATAAGGAGTAGAACACTATAGTGGTTGGAATTCATGCTTGTGTTCCCAATGCTATAGTGTTCCTTTAAATGTTAGTAAATTACTTATACTCTCCTTTAGCGGTCAGCTTACAGATGGCAGACTGTGGTGAGAGGGGTGGGGTTGGTGCTTCTGCTCATTTCTAAATTATGTGTAGTCATTCCAATATCCGCAGAGAACGGACATTTAATACATTGTGGGATCAGCGTGTCTCCCTATAGATATCAGATGTCCACTCATATCCACTGTGGTGGCCGTCTTAAAGGACCACTATAGTGCCAGGAAAACATACTCGTTTTCCTGGCACTATAGTGCCCTGAGGGTGCCCCCAACCTCAGGGACCCCCTCCCGCCCAGCTCTGGAAAGGGGAAAGGGATTAAAACTTACCTTTTTCCAGCGCTGGGCAGAGAGCTCTCCTCCTCCGATCCTCCTCTTCTCCTCCCCGTCGGCTGAATGCGCACGCACGGCAAGAGCTGCGCGCGCATTCAGCCGGTCACATAGGAAAGCATTCACAATGCTTTCCTATGGACGCTGGTGTGCTCTCACTGTGAAAATCACAGTGAGAAACGCAAGGCCTCTAGCGGCTGTCAATGAGACAGCCACTAGAGGAAATAGAAACTGCTATGTTTATGAAAAAATGGGTTAACCCTAGCTGGACCTGGCACCCACACCACTTCATTAAGCTGAAGTGGTCTGGGTGCCTAGAGTGGTCCTTTAAAAGAGGAAAGCTGGCACTGGAACTATAACAGCAGGCTGCAGTGGTTATGGTACTTGGAGTCCTCTTTCAATATCTATACATAGTGACATTGTCCCAGTTACATTACTGTGTAGGTCAGAGGGACACACTGTATGTCTGTCGGTGGGAAACTGCGATAATATGGATTACAAAGCAGGAAATAAAATAGCAAAGTAAGGAAATGAAACGTATGATAAACCAGACCACACAATAAGCTACTCACCGGTTCTCACGACACCAGAACAGCCCCTATTTCAAACATTAGTACCGGGGATTATGCTCTAAACAGTGAATTGCAGAGTGTTGACAAATGCAAATTTAGGACAATATTAAAGGACTAGACTTTTTTAACTTTTATAGATCCAATAGTTAAAAACTATGGGGATTATTATTTCTGATATTTACATTATCTGCAAGGTGTAAGACCCCATTTATACACATTGCATCAACACTCAATGCCAACAGGAACAATTAAATGTCTTATAACGATAAATATTTGTAGAGGGCTCTCCAAAGAGAGATTTATTTCCACATTTTTCGCCCTTTTCCTTTATTGAGAATGCTGAAACATTAAAATAAAAGCAACACTCCATTGAAATGAAGCAGATATTCCCCCCAAAATAAAACATGCATGTGCGGTTTACTTTTGGGGTCTATATACAAACAACTTGCAGAAGCTGCAGATCTGCTGTCTGCATCCTTCACAAGCCTTCCCCTTTATCCCTGGCCCAGAATTCCACAAACAAATCAGAGGCTCCTTATTCTGCGGAATTAATGGACGCGGAGCCCAACAAGCTGAGGTTCTAAAATATAACCTTCCACTATGCATGTCGATATCTAAATATAAATATTGTGCAACTAATAAAAGTTTACTTTAGCGTATTTTATTATTTTTCCCATTCCATCCTTCATTTTTTTTTATGGCTACGTGATGCAAATCCTTAATAGAATGTACTATTATGAAGGAACACCTGATTGGCTATTTAAAATAAAAATCAACGTTGTGACTTGCTCAGAACCTTACATAACCTGCACGTGAACAAAATGGTAAAAACTAAAATACACTTTTACCCAACAGCTATTAACACATGGAGGCACAATGCCATGTTTCCTGAAACAGAACCTCTATCAATCTGCCAGACTAGAATAGATTGCAAAATTTCTAAAGGAACCGTACTCAATTCACTCAACACAGGGTTCTTAGCTGAACCAAGGGCCAGCGCAAGCCCAGAAGATAATAAGTACCACTATTAGAAAAAGGGTCCCTGCACCTTTATTAGAACAAGTGGAACACTGCAACGTTTCAACTCCCAATGGAGTCTTCGTCAAGCTACGTCACTACAAAGCTTACAAACATTTATAAGAAAAAAAAAATAGTGAAAGTGTCACAGTCAATCAATTAATTAATTAATTAACTCTAATTAAATCCTGGCTTGATATGCAAGAAATGATTTGGTACTCTCAAAGGAAAAAGTAAAGTGCTAGAACTGGTATCCTGACCAAGGAGAAGACTGATTTCTCGACACAGTGTTGTTACACAGCTGACATTTCACATTCCGGAAGGTTGCTGAGAGTAATAGACGGGGTGACAAACGTGAAGCATATTGGATCCGTGAATTAGACACTTTATACTGTAAGCGTCTCCACTATGAATATGATCTTTGGCCGCTAATCTGAGTATGTGGTTTTTATAAAGAAACAAATATCTTTTAAAAAAAAGTCAAAAATTGTTTCCATATTTGCCGTAATTTTCATTTCCTGGCCATTATCCATTAATGCACTTTTGGCAATGAGGTAGACCATATTGACCTGCAATTGCACATATGAAGGAATATTACGCAATACCTTTATTAGTGCACTTTATAACTGAATACAGTGATGACTATAGTATTTTTTTTACAATCCCTCACTAGTGCACTATGTCATTGCATATATAGGATATACACGTATGCACTTTATTAAAATACATTTTATTTTTTAATAATATATTTGATTATATTTGTATTATATGATTTATTGATCATAGATAAGGGGTATATGAGTATGTTACTTTGTATGATATTATTTTGATTATGTTTTAATGTGCTGATTCTATACCAATGTTCCTTCTTAAAGGGACACTATAGTCACCAAAACAACTTTAGCTTCATGAAAAGGTTTTGGTGTATAGATCGTGTCTCAGAAGTCTCAGTGTTCAAGTCTCTGCCATTCTGTTTATACAGCCCTGGTCACACTGTCCCTGGCTGTGACTCACACAGCCTGCATGAAAACAAAATGATTTGTTTTATATCAGATGTTACTTACTTTAAAAGTTTTTATCTCCTGCTGTGTAAATTGAACTTTAATCACACACAGATGGGCTCCTGTGTGGTCTTAACAGAGCAGGAGGTGAGTAATTATTATAATATTAACAGAATTTGAAATAAAGGGAATTTAAATTTTAGATGACACTTTACAGGAAGTGTTTAGGAATGCTGTGTAAGTCACATGCAGGGAGGTGTGGCTAGGGCTGTATAAACAAAGTAATTTAACTCCTAAATGGCAGAGGATTGAGCAGTGAGACTGCAGGGGCATGGTCTATACACCAAAACTGCTTCATTAAGCTAAAGTTATTTTGGTGACTATAGTGTCCCTTTTATTCCTTTGGTACTCACTGTCTGTCTTTCTACATCACAGCTGGAGAATTAGTATTTTTTATGTATTTTAAGGTTTATTGGTGATTTGTATAGTAACAGTAGGCAGACCCCTCCCTTGGTCTGCCTAGTGGGCGTGGATGAGGCTGTCTTGAGATCCTGTAGCTTCATGGGAGCTTGGTTTCGCTATTATTCTGCTGCATTAGTTGGGCGCATCCCCTTTTGGGGTACACAGGAAGGGGCCCTGCTGAAAAAAGCGGTTGATTTATTTAGGATAAAGTGTCACTGTTGCTCAGCACATGAAAAGTGCTGCCCTGGATTGTCCCAATTTCATATCAGCATTTCTTAGGTTTATCATCGATACACACCGGTATTTATTCATTATTTATTCCCTTTATTTATATTATTTTTATATTAGTTTATTTGATTTGTCCATGCAGTTTCTACGATCTACGGTATCTCACAAAAGTAAGTGCACCCCTCACATTTTTGTAAATATTTTATACCTTTTCATGTGACAACACTGAAGAAATGACACTCTGCTACAATGTAAAGTAGTAAGTGTACAGCCTGTATAACAGTGTCAATTTACTGTCCCCTCAAAATAACTAAACACACAGCCATTAATGTCTAAACTGTTGGCAACAAAAGTGAGTACACCCCTAAGTGGAAATGTCCAAATTGGGCTCAATTAACCATATTCCCTCCTCTGTGTTATGTGACTTGTTAGTGTTACAAGGTTTCAGGTGTAAGTGGGGAGCAGTTGTGTTAAAACATTTTAAATATATAAAGGGAAGTAACACAGTAAAGGAGGAGACTATATTTAAAAGAAGAAAAACTACCACAACAAGAGGACATAGTCTTAAATTAGAGGGACAAAGGTTTAAAAATAATATCAGGAAGTATTACTTTACTGAGAGGGTAGTGGATGCATGGAATAGCCTTCCAGCTGAAGTGGTAGAGGTTAACACAGTAAAGGAGTTTAAGCATGTGTGGGATAGGCATAGGGCTATCCTAACTATAAGATAAGGCTAGGGACTAATGACAGTATTTAGAAAATTGGGCAGACTAGATGGGCCGAATGATTCTTATCTGCCGTCACATTCTATGTTTCTATGTATAAAAGCACAAAGAACAGCACCAACTAACAAGCACGAGGACACACTACCATATCCATAGCCGGGGATTATTCCGTCCATTCGCATAAATCTGGAGCTGAACATAAACTCCAGAAAATTGTAAGTACAACGTTTGTCCTTGTTATGATATCAGAACTCCTGACATACTACACTATATTACGTTCTCTGTGCTTATCACATATTACCTTGGATTTGAGAACAACACCACAGGCGCTGCCTCCCTGCACCTTTTTCTGCACAATCCCTCATCTGTGCCTGGGAGATAATTGAGTCAAGCATTGTATTAAACTCAATTATCTCCAGACACAGAAATCATACATTTTTATAAAACCCCCAAAATACCTTTAAACACACAAAACCCCCAGAAAAGTTACATCCCCTTATAGCCCCAATCTGGATGACCAACATCTCCAAAAATGCCATATCCATGGCAGCACAACAATACCCAAGGTACAACCAAGGGAGGGAAAGAAAAACTCAGACATCAAATTATATAACGCAAGTGTATTAGCACAATCAAACCAAACGTGACAAACATTGCAATAGATCAACTTGATTGTTAGATGCAGAAAGGACAGATCTGCCAAATTCATCAGACTGACCAGCCTTTACGTCTATACGATAATGTCTGATAAAACTATTTGAAGACAACCAAGTGGCTGCTTTGCAAATTAGTTCTGGAGAAACTTTTGCTGCTGCTGCCCAGGATGAAGAGGGAGATCGTGTAGAATGTGCTTTCAAACCTTTAGAAGCTTGAAGGCCTTTCCTAAAATCATTAGGAATGATAAAAAGCCTTTTAGAAATTCGCCATTCTGAAGATCTTTGCACATAAATCTTGAGGCATCTCACTGAGTCAATAGCGTTCCAATTAGCGTCTTCTCTATTGTTTGATTCTTCTGAAAGTAACGTTGGTAGCACTATTTCTTAATTTATTAAGGAACTGTTCTTAGAATGACTCTGTCTCTATGAAAAATAGTGAAAGGTTCCTCAGCAGATAGAGCGTGAAGATCTGACACCCGTCGGGAGCAGAAGCTAAGGCTATTAGTAGAACAGTTTTAATAGTGAGTAGATGATAAGAAATAGATTCCAATGGTTAGAACGGATGTGTTTTAAGTGCTTTCAGAACCAGTGGTAAATCCCATGGTGGAGCAATAGGTTTGAAAGGAGGCTTGATCTTTAAGACTGCAGTCATGGATCTGACTATGTCAGAGAAAAGGCCCATTTATTATTAGTTAAATCAGAGAGGGCTGAAATATGGACTTTCAAAATTTTATAACTCAACCCTTTATCTAAGCCGGATTGCAGAAACTCCAGAATATCTTTGGTTGATGGTTTCTGAATATCCATAAGGCTAGATCTGGACCATGAAGAAAATACATCCCAGATTCTGTAATAAGTGGTTGAAGTAAACTTTTTTCTTGCCTGCTTGTGAGAACTAGGCATGTGCATGAGGAACATTTTCAGTTCGGTTCAGCATTCCGAAATTCAGGACTTCGACACTTCGGGACTTCTCTTGCAGCGGTATTAGGGAGTTATCTACCAAAAGGCTGAAAGACCTAAATTGGTCTTTCAGCCAAATTTACTAATACTAAGTAAACAGTGGCTGCTCACTGTTAAAAAAAAAATAATTAAAAAAATAGGGTCCCCCCTACCGAGCCCTCACCCAACCTATTGCCCCCCCCTCACCCCCACCCATGAGCGGCGGGTGGGGGCCCTAAAGTAAAATGATGGGGGGACCTATTGTCCTCCCCCTCGGCCCCCACCCCTGAGCATTGGGTGGGGGCCCTAAATTAGAATAAGGGGGGGTCCTAATGTCCTCCCGCCCCGAGCGGTGGGTGGGGGCCCTAAATTAGAATAAGGGGGGACCTAATGTCCTCCCCCCTGAGCGGCGGGTGGGGGCCCTAAATTGGAATAAGGGGGGGACCTAATGTCCTCCCCCTGGACCCCAAACCTGAACGGCGGGTGGGGGCCCTAAATTGGAATAAGGGGGGGACCTAATGTCCTTCCCCCTGGCCCTCACCCCTGAGCGGTGGGTGGGGGCCCTAAATACCAATAGGGGTGGACCTATTGTCCTCCCCACCCGTGAGCAGCGGGTGGGGGCCCTAAATAAAAATGTTACCCCCCAGGATGACTAGGGGTCCCCAAACCCCTAGTCACCCCCCAAAAAATAAAATTAACCCCTTCCTACCCCCCTCACCTAAAAAATAATGAGGGGGGACTTTTAACTAAGTACCTGTAAAAAAAATTAAACTTACCATTTCATGTTTTCTTTCTTCTAAAATCTTATTTTTCAGCCCCAAAAAAGGACAAATAAAAAATCCATAATAACCGATGCACTAAAAAAAAACAAGAAAAACCACTAGCGCAAAAAAATATAATCCATCTTCACCCATGGAGGGCTCCGCACAGACTGAGCTCTGCAGGGCAGGGGAAGGCTTATAAAGCCTTGCCCCGCCCTGCAATTAGGCTCAGAGGACTCTGATTGGTTTTCTACATTTACCTGTCACAGCACTCTGATTGGTTGGCCTGAAATCCACCAGAGTGCTCTGTCATTTTACACAGCGTGGGAAAGTTCTTTGGAATAAGGGGGGACCTTTACATTAGGTACCCCCTTATTAGTATTTAGGGCCCCCATCTGCTGCTCAGGGGTGCGGGCCAGGGGGAGGACATTAGGTCCCCCCTTATTAGTATTTAGGACCCTCACCCGCCGCTCAGTGGTGGGGGTCCAGGGGGAGGACATTAGGTCCCCCCTTATTCCAATTTAAGGCCCCCACCCGCTGCTCAAGGGTGGGGGCCGGGGGGGGGCAATAGGATGGGTTTAGTTTAAAAGCTCCCACTCGCGCGTCGTGGGTGTGGGCTCGGGAGGGGGGACCCTATTTTTTTTTTTTAAACAGTGAGCAGCCACAGGCTGTTCCTTGTTTACTAGACATGCCCCTACTCGCAGTATAGTGAGTAGGGGCACAATTTACTAATACTAAGTAATTTTTACTTAGTATTAGTAAATTTTGGCTGAAAGACCAATTTAGGTCTTTCAGCCTTTTGGTAGATAACTCCCTAATACCATGGGAATTAGGGAGTTATCAACTAAGCGACATCAGTGGGACACCATTGACACCTTCAGGGGGACACCATTGAGCAGGGCAGGGTACTAAAGCTTCCCAAGGAAGAGAGGCTGAACTCCCTTGGGGGCAGAAGGTAAGCCAAAAAAAAGAAAACTATTATAGTCCTGAAATAGACTAATTTGGTCCTATAGAGATAGGACAGAAACAAAAAGGTATTTGTACCTTTATTTTAATTAGTTCCTGTCTAATTAGGGATAAGGGAGGAGCTACCCATTGTTGTGCTGCCATGGATATGGCCAGGAAATATATATATATATATATATATATATATATATATATATATATATATATATATATATACACACACACACACACACACACACACACACACACACACATATATATATATATATAAAACCAAGCTCCTGAAATGCGGTGCGCTATAGAGAGTGAAGTATTGGTTATATTTATATACACACACACTTGCTTGCAGTTTAATCATAGGATTATGTTTTGACTGTTCCTTTAAAATATTACACTTAGTTATATTTTTTAGTATAATTTACACAGCGTGGGAAAGTTTTGGGGTTTTTTTTTTAACAAAAAGCACTTGGTAGGGAAGGGGTTGTTAGAAGCTATTACTGTTTATGTACAGTTGCAAGAAAAAGTATGTGAACCCTTGGGAATGATATGGATTTCTGTATAAATTGGTCATAAAATGTGATCTGATCAACATCTAAGTCACAACAATAGACAATCACAGTTTGCTTAAACTAATAACACACAAAGAATGAAATGTTGCCATGTTTTTATTGAATACACCATGTAAACATTCACAGTGCAGGTGGAAAAAGTATGTGAACCCTTGGATTTAATAACTGGTTGAACCTCCTTTGGCAGCAATAACTTCAACCAAACGTTTCCTGTAGTTGCAGATCATACGTGCACAACGGTCAGGACGGTCAGGAGTAATTCTTGACCATTCCTCTTTACAGAACTGTTTCAGTTCAGCAATATTCTTGGGATGTCTGGTGTGAATCGCTTTCTTGAGGTCATGTCACAGCATCTCAATTGGGTTGAGGACTCTGACTGGGCCACTTCAGAAGGCGTATTTTCTTCTGTTTAAGCCATTCTGTTGTTGATTTGCTTCTATGCTTTGGGTCATTGTCCTGTTGCAACACCCATCTTCTGTTGAGCTTCAGCTGGTAGACAGATGGCCTTACTTTCTCCTGCAAAATGTCTTGATAAACTTGGGAATTCATTTTTCCTTCGATGATAGAAATCCGTCCAGGCCCTGATGCAGTAAAGCAGCCCCAACCCATGATGCCCCCACCACCATACTTCACAGTTGGGATGAGGTTTTGATGTTGGTGTGCTGTGCCTTTTTTTCGCCACACATAGTGTGTCTGTGGTTTCATCTGTCCACAGAATATTTTGCCAGTACTGCTGTGGAACATCCAGGTGATCTTGTGCAAACTGTAAACATGCAGCAATGTTTTGTTTGGACAGCAGTGGCTTCCTCTGTGGTATCCTCCCATGAAATCCATTCTTGTTTAGTGTTTTACGTATTGTAGATTCGCTAACAGGGATGTTAGCATTTGCCAGTGACTTTTGTAAGTCTTTAGCTGACACTCTAGGTTCATCTCATTCACAGAGCTGCGTCATTGTCTGCTGTGCTCTTGCAGTCATCTTTACAGGACGGCCACTCCTAGGGAGAGTAGCAGCAGTGCTGAACTTTCTCCATTTATAGACAATTTGTCTTACCGCGGACTGATGAACAGCAAGGCTTTTGGAGATACTTTTATAACCCTTTCCAGCTTAATGCAAGTCAACAGTTCTTAATCGTAGTTCTTCTGAGAGCTCTTTTGTGCGAAGCATCATTCACATCAGGCAATGCTTCTTGTGAAAAGCAAACCCAGAACTGGTGTGTGTTTTTATAGGGCAGGGCAGCTGTAACCAACACCTCCAATCTCATCTCATTGATTGGACTCCAGTTGGCTGACATCTCACTCCAATTAGCTCTTGGAGATGTCATAAGTCTAGGGGTTCACATACTTTTTCCACCTGCACTGTGAATGTTTACATGGTGTGTTCAATAAAAACATGGCAACATTTCATTCTTTGTGTGTTATTAGTTTAAGCAGACTGTGATTGTCTATTGCTGTGACTTAGATGATGATCAGATCACATTTTATGACCAATTTGTGCAGAAATCCATATCATTCCAAAGGGTTCACATACTTTTTCTTGCAACTGTACTTTCCCTGCAAAGTGTCACAACACAAACCTTGACCGGCATTGGTTTTTTCATTGTCTGAAACTGTAAAACCTTTCCTCCAACATCGCCATGAAGTACTTAGTTTTGGTAGATGGAGCTGATAAGAGCTCTGTGTATTGTGCAATTGGGTTCATTGTAACACAGGCAGAGGCTGGGTAGGTCGCTTACAGTGGATTACAGGGAGATCAAGTGTCAGCTCTGTGGACAGTCCTCTCACACCATTACATGCTATTGAAGAGTTTACTGGAGGCAATGTGCCACCTAGACTATTGATTATTGGTAAGCCGGAATCCCAGAGCCGCCGGTCAGCACGGTGAGATGGAATCTCAGAGCCGTCAGTCAGCAATGTGAGATGGAATCCCAGAGCTGCCGGTCAGCACGGTGAGATGGAATCCCAGAGCTGTCGGTCAGCACGGTGAGATGGAATCCCAGAGCCACTGGTCAGCATGGTGAGATGGAATCCCAGAGCCGCTGGTCAGCACGGTGAGATGGAATCCCAGAGCCGCTGGTCAGCACGGTGAGATGGAATCCCAGAGCCGCTGGTCAGCACGGTGAGATGGAATCCCAGAGCTGTCGGTCAGCATGGTGAGATGGAATCCCAGAGCCGCTGGTCAGCATGGTGAGATAGAATCCCAGAGCCGCTGGTCAGCATGGTGAGATGAAATCCCAGTGCCGCTGTGTTCTTTGATGTGCTCAGCGTTAAGAAATGATTGTTCTATATTATACTTAAAGTTTTTTGATGGCTTGTCACTAAGTATTACTGTGATAGTGATCCAGCTCTTGTCTCTCACCAGATTCTGATCATGGCCTATTTTTCTCTTGATGGATTAGGCTGCCCATCCTGCATCCGATGTTATGTTCAAAATCACAAAGGTGGAAGCATCCAGTTGCCCAGAAATACTGGAAGCCCAAACACTGGGTGTTCTGGAGGAGAAGCCAGACATAAAGGCAATCTTTATAAATGGTAATAGCTGGGGAGCTGGCTCCTTCATGTTGTAACCGTAGCCATAGATTTTATAACCATGCCATAGATAGCATCTTTCCCTGACCTAATTCTTAACAGAACCCTGATACTGCTAACCTAATGTTAGTGCTACTAGTTAGATAAATGGCTTATACTAATTAACATTTAATAGGGGTACGTGCTTAACCAATGTTTGATTTAAGGGTACTAGTTAGCTACTAGTTAGTTAATAGTGGTTCTTGTCAAATAGTTAATCTTGGGGTACTAGTTAGCTACAATAATATGTTACTAGTGGTTCTTGGGGTACTAGTTAGCTCCAATAATCTGTTACTAGTGGTTCTTGGGGTACTAGTTAGCTACAATAATCTGTTACTAGTGGTTCTTGGGGTACTAGTTAGCTACAATAATCTGTTACTAGTGCTTTGTATTTGATTAGTTGATAAATCCTGATCTAGCTCAGTAAACACTTGGTTTTGGATTTTTTTTTGCAGAGTATAAGCACGATTTGCCCCCCAAGCACAGAGTGAAGTATTACGTTGTGTTTGGATGGGTTAGAAATTCTGTCCCAATATCAGAGCTCTCCGAACCCGCCATTCCTGTGGGTAAATCCTGTGACTTCCTTCTCCACTTACTGGATCTGCTTGTTCAGCCAAAGAACAGATACAGCAATAACTTCAACATCTGCTCAAAATGTGACCATCGCTCCGCTCTGCCCCAAACACATCTCCCAACATGCAGCTCATTAACTAGTTATTAGCCAATCTGTGTTATTCTCTATATCAGGGGTTCCCAGTCCTCGAGCACCCCCTAACAGTCCAGGATTTAGGGATTTTCTTTCTAAAAACACCTTAGACACCAGAGTGATCCCTAAATCCTGGACTGTTAGGGGGTGCTCGAGGACTGGGAACCCCTGCTCTTTATTAAAGGGACACGCGTAGTGCAATCTCACAGGTTTTCACTGTCCCCCCGTGTCTACAGCCTGACGCAGGACCTGGCTGAATTATCTAAGTCACTCCCTGACATCACGGATTCATAGAATTGCAAGCACATACCTGGGCAGTCATTTTAGCCATAGCTTCTCTTATTATAATATAGAATATGTTACATTAATAAAGTACAAAGGGACCCTCAGTGCAGAACACTTCATTCTTCTTACATTTTGTTGATTAAATTCCAGCACTTCCTTATTATTATTTATTAAGCGCCAACAAATTCCGCAGCTCTGTACAATAGGTACTTACGAAGCAGCATCCCTTTATTTGGGTGCCCAGCTGCCGGGAGATATGAAGTCTGGATAAAACATACTATTAATGTATGCAAGCTGCCAGGAGATACGAAGTCTGGATAAAACATACTATTAATGTACGCAAGCTGCCGGGAGATACGAAGTCTGGATAAAACATACTATTAATGTACGCAAGCTGCCAGGAGATACGAAGTCTGGATAAAACATACTATTAATGTACGCAAGCTGCCAGGAGATACGAAGTCTGGATAAAACATACTATTAATGTACGCAAGCTGCCGGGAGATACAAAGTCTGGATAAAACATACTATTAATGTACGCAAGCTGCCGGGAGATACGAAGTCTGGATAAAACATACTATTAATGTACGCAAGCTGCCGGGAGATACGAAGTCTGGATAAAACATACTATTAATGTACGCAAGCTGCCAGGAGATACGAAGTCTGGATAAAACATAGTATTAATGTACGCAAGCTGCCGGGAGATACGAAGTCTGGATAAAACATACTATAAATGTACGCAAGCTGCCGGGAGATACGAAGTCTGGATAAAACATAGTATTAATGTACGCAAGCTGCCGGGAGATACGAAGTCTGGATAAAACATACTATTAATGTACGCAAGCTGCCGGGAGATACGAAGTCTGGATAAAACATAGTATTAATGTACGCAAGCTGCCAGGAGATACGAAGTCTGGATAAAACATAGTATTAATGTAGGCAAGCTGCCGGGAGATACGAAGTCTGGATAAAACAAAGTGTTAATGCACGGAAGCTGCCAGGAGATACGAAGTCTGGATAAAACAAAGTGTTAATGTACGGAAGCTGCCGGGACATACGAAGTCTGGATAAAACATAGTATTAATGCACGGAAGCTGCCGGGAGATACGAAGTCTGGATAAAACATAGTATTAATGTACGCAAGCTGCCTGGAGATACGAAGTCTGGATAAAACAAAGTGTTAATGTACGGAAGCTGCCGGGACATACGAAGCCTGGATAAAACATAGTATTAATGCACGGAAGCTGCCTGGAGATACGAAGTCTGGATAAAACAAAGTGTTAATGTACGCAAGCTGCCGGGAGATACGAAGTCTGGATAAAACAAAGTGTTAATGTACGGAAGCTGCCGGGACATACGAAGTCTGGATAAAACATAGTATTAATGCACGGAAGCTGCCGGGAGATACGAAGTCTGGATAAAACATAGTATTAATGTACGCAAGCTGCTGGGAGATACGAAGTCTGGATAAAACAAAGTGTTAATGCACGGAAGCTGCTGGGAGATACGAAGTCTGGATAAAACAAAGTGGGTCAAGTATCTGCTGGTAATTATGGGCAGCACAAAAATTATTTTGAAAATTTCTATGAAAAAAAAAAAAAAAGGAACTGTGAAGAATTAATCAGAGAATTTCTAGTTTAACGCTAAAACAGCAGAGGTGGGAATTGTCAGGAATACAAATCGATTTCAGACCAGAGTAGACAAACTGGGATTATGGCCAATTTGGATCATTTTTCCAGTTTGGCTTTTTTGACTTTAAATGTAAAATTTACTTTGAATTCTCAAAAACCCTCCCCAGTGACCTGGCTAGAGAACACAGACAGGTGTGCGCCATCACGATACTGGCGGCCAGGAACCTTCTAGCGATGAACTGGAAGTCGCACCTATGTCCATCTAAAACACAACTATGGGACAAGATTCAACAATACCATGTCTATGAACGAATGACGATGACCCATAGTATAGAATCACAACAGTTCCATTCAACATGGAAACAGTGGACATGCTTATACGACCAAGCCACAAATCACCAAAATCCACCTTGAGACCGTTAAATATGGCCTGACAGACTGTACCAGCACGCAACACCGTGCTTAAAGAACCAACCTTTACCCTCCCGCACCAGACTGCTTTGCCCACAAACACCCAACAACGGGTAAACAATACGTGAGTGTAAAACTATACTAAGCAACCTTAAGTATGTGTATATCAGGTATATTGTTATTGCGGACACAGCCGCCTGCGAAACCCTAAATGTCACTGTCGAAAATCTTGATAACAAACCTTGTAACAGTCCATATTGTCTGCTTTCCCCCATTGTTATCCTTATAACTCCCTTCTCTTTTCTGTACCCCATATACTTGAAAAATCAATAAAAATTTGCATTAAAAAAAAAACAAAAAACCCTGACTTATTATTATTTAGTAGATACAAAGACAACCTGTGTTTTTTCCTTTGGGATAGAAGTAAAACAGCTTGTAGAAGCTGCAGACCTGCTTTCTGCAGCCTTTATAATCCCTCCACCCTGGAAGTACAGACGGTCAGTCTGTTAATACTGTGGAAGCTGAAGGAATCCTGCCTGGCCGTGTTAATGACAGCCAGGTAGTTGTTTCTGCCCCCAATTATAAAAATATATAATAGATTTCTGTTAGAACTTTTATAAACTGTCAAACAACAACAGACTCCAGACAAGTAAAGCACTTCATCACACTGTCTACGTCATTCCTTCCATATGTGCAATTCCCTAAACTCAGTATATGATTTGTGTATTATATCGCTGGTATATGATTTGTGTATTATAGCACCGGTTTATGATTTGTGTATTATATCACCGGTATCGGATTGTGATGAGACCCATCTTGCCACTGTGCATTGGAGGAGCCTGGTTGCTCGCCTGTTGCCTTTGGATTATGGCCCCATGTTGAAACGCTTGATTTTCCCCTGCAAAGACATGAAAGCCAGGTCATTTGGTGCTTGCCCTGTTTGAGCAGTGATACCCCAGATAGCTGTGCCATGGAGCCCATTCGTATAATGAAAGACTATGGGAAAGACTTTGGCTCCATGGCAATTGAACTGTATGTGATCCGAGTGCCATTCAGTAATAATGTGCGCTCAGATCTGAGCTATCTGGGGATATGTTGAATGTACCCGTTTTATGCAATAGCTGCACAGTTATATATTTTTATGTATTTTGTCTTTTGCTACCATGTGTTCAATGGAGTTTTGCCTCTCTCCTTGGAGATAATTGGATTACTTCCCCATTCTCTCCAGGATAGAAGACTCTGTGGAACTGGTTTTGGGCAGAAAAGCCATGCTTCATTTGGTCACAAAGGACGTCGATCTAACTTTTGACCCACTGGACCAATTTGTATGATTTCTACGTATATTTGTATTTGGAGTATGCTGATTCTGAAAATGTAAGTTTTATGTGAATATGATGCATATTTTTTAAGTTATGAATATTGTGTATAACTGTATTTTCCTGCCTGTGATAATTACATTACCCATTGTGTAAGGCAATTGTATCACAGGCAGAGCGGAGGATTTTGTGTGGGAGTGTCTGAGTGTATTGTACATGTTTATTGGTTGTTTTACAAAACCCTGTGGGTGGTACTAATGTGCAAGAATGTGTACATAACAATAAACCCACAGCTCTGGCAGTTCTACTTCACCCTCAATTTGGAGTGCCTTCTCTTATTGGGGGAATCTGCTACAAGGGATTGCTATGCTTGTCATATTCCCTTGCTATATCACTACTAAGCTCTTGTAAGAGCTTATTCCTGCCTTGCTCTCTGGAGGAGTCTACAGTGGTTATGATGTCTGCTGCAGTGCTTGGAGTCCTCAGGAAGTGCTAGGAGCATCCTTCAACGGAGGTACCCAGTCGGGGTGCCCGTCGATCCGTTACACGACTCCTATTAAATGTATGCTTACTAATGCAAGGAGCCTAAATAGCAAAATGGGGGAACTAGAGGCAATAGCAGAATATTATGGAGAGGAACTTGCCCTATGATGTAATAATCTCTAAAACATAACCCAAATAAGAATGAACCTAACAGTCAATTTATTATAAAGGAAATGTGAAAGAAAATACATAGTTATCGACCAATTGATCATCGAATTAGAGATCAAATAAGTTTAATTTATGCCTCGTACATATGGAGGCAGAAGAATATCCGTGATCTTGTGATGTTAGTCAGAATGCCTGATAAACAAAAACGGACACTCTGAAATAACACTGTCAAGAAGAGCAAGTGTAGGAAAATCAAAGTATTTGCAGCTAAAGCCTCGTGTAGCAATTGTCCTTGAATTAGGCTGCTATTTAAGCTATTGCTAACGCTCTAACTTGAACAGTAAAACCGACCTATACCCCATGGTAATATTAGCAAAGGAAACAAACTCGATTAAATATGTATCTCCCCCAATAGCGCTGTAATCAGAACATTCTAAAGCGTGCCTTCGAGGGAAATACTATCTGCTGATCTAAAGTTAGCGCCATAGAAGAAAAAAAATGAAAGAATTTTAAGTAAACGCTACATTTGTAGCTCTGGTTAGAGAAGCCAGAGCTACAAACGCAGGGTTTACTTAAAACTATTTCAGTCTATGGACAAACTTTTACCCACTAAACAGGGTCTGGGGCAGTACTTGAAATATTGTAGTTTCTAGAAGTCAGAGGTGTGCAGAGTTGAGTCCCCACGCGCGTTTCGCCGGTCAGGTGGCTCTTCACGACAGGCCAAGGCAGAATTCATGCAGGCAAGAGTTGTTTCAGGGAATCCACAGGTGAGGGTAATCAACTCACTTCAGGTGGAATCTGTCTCTGCACTCCAGGGGAACAATAAAACAAGGGTGGTCTGTGCTTAGATAAGGGAATGGGAGCCCTCCCATGAGGAGGGGGGTCTAAGGGCCTATATAAGTGGAAGACTCTGCTGGGTAACTAGGTGTCCACACCTCCCTATGTGAGCAGGACGCTATGTCAATTTGTCCAGTTAACTTGCAGACTTCCATGCTTGCTGAGCTGGATTCCCCAAAGAGATCCTGGAGCAGCATGGGGAACACACACACACACACAGGAGGCGAGGTAGGCATAAAGGCAGACAGGGTGGGCCTGCCTTCCCCTGCATGTCGCAACTCACATGGAATGGCTGCAGGGGCCGGTGGGTGAGGAGAGTGTGCAGTGCAAGCTGGCAGCCTGCAGGATGGTTTGGCGCGTCCCCCACTCCCTGGACGCCGAAATCCATGTGGTGTCTGGTGAGTGAGCGCAGTGCACCAGCCTATCCCGGTGTGCCGTGATACTCTGTATTAAATCTTTCAAGATTATTTTGTTTCAGGTATTGTACCGGAGGATTGGAGGAAGGCAGATGTTGTTCCTATATTTAAAAAGGGTTCAAAATCCTTGCCTGGAAATTATAGACCTGTGAGCTTAACTTCTGTGACTGGGAAAATATTTGAAGGGCTATTAAGGGATAATATTCAGGAATTCATTGGGAAGAACTGTGTTATTAGCAATAATCAGCATGGTTTTATGAAACATAGGTCATGTCAAACTAACCTAATTGCATTCTACAAAGAAGTTAAGTAGAAGTATAGATCAGGGTGTTGCAGTGGATGTGATCTACTTGGATTTTGCCAAGGCATTTGATACAGTTCCACACAATAGGTTAGTCTTCAAACTAAAAGAAATTGATCTAGATGAATATTCTTGTTCTTGGGTAGAAAATTGGCTTAAGGATAGAGTACAACGAGTTGTAATTAATGGTAAATTTTCAGGCTGGACAAAAGTGGTGTCCCTCAGGGTTCTGTTTTGGGACCACTTCTATTTAACATTTATAAATGATCTTGAAATGGGCATTGAAAGTCATGTTTCAGTGTTTGCAGATTACACAAAACTTTGTAAAGTAATAAAATGTGAGCAGAGGGATTTAGATAGATTGGGGGACTAGGCACTAAAATGGAAGATGAAATTTAACGTGGAGAAATGCAAAGTTATGCACTTCGGGGTCAAGAATGCACAAGCAACTTACACTCTACATGGTAGTGAATTGGAGATAACATACTAGAAGGATTTGGGAATTGTTATAGGTAACAAATTAGGCAGCAATATGCAGTGTCAATCTGCAGTTGCTAAGGCCAGTAAGGTTTTGTCATGTATAAATAGGGGCATAAATTTGCGGGATGAAAATATAATTTTGCCTCATTATAAATAACTGGTAAAACCACATATTGAATGTGCTGTGCGATTTTGGGCACCTGTTCTAAAGAAGGATATCATAGCACTAGAAAAAGTGCAGAGACGAGCTATAAAATTGATAAAAGGAATGGAGCATTTTAGTTACGAAGAAAGGTTAAATTTAAATCTGTTTAGTTTGGAAAAACCGCATCAGAGGGGATATGATAACATTATACAAATATATTCGGGGCCAGTACAAACTATTATCTGGAAATCAATTCCTAAACAGGGCTATACATAGGACACAAGTTCACACGTTGAAACTGGAAGAAATGAGATTTAATCTAAGGCAAAGAAGTTTTTTTTTTTTTTTTTTTACAGTAAGAGCCATAAGGATATGGAGTTCTCTGCTAAAGAGGGGGTTTTATCAGAGTCCATACAGATGTTTAAACAGCAATTGGATAAATACTTCCAAAAACATAACATACAGGGGTATCATTTCTAATTAGTGGAGTAATAGCCGTTTGATCCAAGGAGATATCTGACTGCTATTTTGGGGTCAAGAAGGATTTTTTTTCCTAGTTTGTTGCAAAATTGGAAGCGCTTCAGACTGGGTTTTTTGCCTTCTTTTGGCTGAACTTGATGGATAAAAGTCTCTATTCAGCTATGTAAGCAATGTAACATAACCAAAGCCAAAAGAGATGACACTGTGACAGGTATTTATACACTCAGGACTCTAGGTTAACCATACAGCAATCATTGCATATGCAGCTCAGCAAGGAACACGGCTTAAGAAACCCCAGGGTGAGCGTCTGTTTTCCGGGGATTACGCAGCTGGTTGTTTACTCCGTCCCGGATCTGCTGCTGTTCCGAAGCTTTTGTAATTGAAAAGTACTGTTCCATGTAGGAGAGGAGCTTTTTTTTAACGTTCTGTGGAATAGCTTTTTTTTGGTGTGTGCCATTATAGTTGGCCACGTGACACCACTGGCGATAGGTTTCCAGTGGGACGAGTGTTCTAAAAACCAGCCCAGCAAACCTTAGCAAACTGCCCTTTGATGACTTGTAGAGACATTTAATCATCTTGTCACTAACTGAACACATCTTGATATCAGGAAGACAGGGTCCCAACTTTTTGGGTTCGTGACTGGCAGCAAGTCTGGGTATTTTTGGTGAAGGGGACGAGTTTCTGGTGGGTTTTGGAACATATTTGGTATCCTGATTTGACGAGTAACCCCTTTTCTTGATCATTTCCTTCCCTTGGCTAGAATTAAGGGCTTGTTTTACTTTGCTGGCTTCCTTAAATATGCTAGATTTCTTTGAAGAACATGAAGTCTTTGATGTTTTAACAAGCGGCACCTTTCTCTTTCTCTTTCTCTGTTTTGTTGGTTTTGTAGTTCCTGGCAAGCGGTCCCTGTTGGTATCATGTGAGACCTCAGTCACACCCAGGTTTGAAGAACTCGATTCTTCATCTGAAATTGAAATCATGTAATCTGTGGTTCTGCTTCCAGAGGGAAAAGTTGATGTTAAAGTAGGCATACTGATGGACTGGTCTGTGGATACAGCAGCGGTGGTGGTCTGAAGAGTAGACCCCACTACTGGAAGGTCTGGAGATTCAAGAGTTTTGATCTGCGCATGCTTGGGTAGAGTTATTCCGTTTAAGGTGGGGACTTTAAGAATATCTGGCTCTTCTGGGAATACAAGCATGTTTTCTGCAGTCAGAGGGCTAGAACACAATCGCCTGTTTGTGACAGGGGTATCTGCCGTCATTGTAGGGAATTCATAATTTGGGAAACAATAATTATTTGGTTCATCCGGTGAGGGAGGAAGATCCTGAACATAGTCAGAGGGAGTTGTGATGTGATCGTTAGATGTCCTGTCTGGACGTAAACCCTGGCTTATCTCCCCCAATTTTTCCATTATTTCCTGTCGAGAGCGCTCCATTTCTGTCCTGAGTGTTCGCTGTTCCTTTTTCAGCCCCTGCAGGATTTTAAGGATCAATCTTCTCTCTTTATAAGCTCTGATTTCATATTGGAGAGCGGATAAATTCCACCTCTCTCCACGTTTCTTCATCACACCGGGCACGGCCTTCTGAAATACAAGAAGAGAGAACACTCCCTGAATATAAGCAAATGACAAAGCAGGGGCGCCCAAAAGGTAGATCCCCAGATGTTTCAAAACTACAGCTTCCCTGATGCTTTGTCATTCTGAAGGCATTCAGAGCATCATGGGAGTTGTAGTTCTACAACAGCTGGGGGATCTACCTTTTGGGCACCCCTAACTTAAAGGGTTACTGCAAGCACGATGACCACTTCAATTGGCGATGCATGTTAACAGTGTTTGAATTAATGCCATTGTTCTTACTTATTTTCTCTGCCCCATTTTGTAATAGAGCACTTTGTCAGTTTTAAAGGAAAACAGTCAGCCTTAATGTACAGACACACAGACGGTACCAGCTCCAACAATGTAAAGCAGGTCGTATACTCTTCTCAATAAAATGTATTTTTTTTTTCTTCTAAGGCGAGGTTATCAATAGATCCGTGATCGGATGGAGTTCTCAATAAATTGGTTTTATTTCTCTGTGCACGAGGTTATCAATAGATACATGATCGGACGGAGTTCTCAATAAATTGGTTTTATTTCTCTGTGCACAAGGTTATCAATAGATACATGATCGGACGGTGTTCTCAATAAATTGGTTTTATTTCTCTGTGGGCGAGGTTATCAATAGAGAAGGGATAGGACCGAGTTCTAAACCTACTGTCAGGTTATATCTGCCAGTTTCGCCGAATTAAGTGACTTCCGGGTTGACGGAGCTCTGCCCCGCCCCTTCTCTGACGCGGTCTCCCCACGCTACATAGGAAGACCGCGCCAGATTCAAGTTGCTGGATTATTGAACAAGTGCCTGTGAACCTCTTACCGGCTACTCAATTTCAATTGAAGCTCCTCCTCGACCTCGGATTGTTAAACGGACTTCTGCTCCTTCCCCTAAGAAACTGATTAATTTGAACTCTCCAGTTACCTGGAACTGCCTCTAAGCTAAGTACTTTTTCCTTCAATCCAATTGCTCTCAGTTGCAAATAAGAAACTGCCTCTTAAGCCAAGTACTTTCTCCTTCAATCCAATTGCTCTCAGTTGCAAATAAGAAACTGCCTCATTGTTAAACTCTCCTGAAGCTAATTCTACTACATTTAATTCAACCTAATTCTGTATGCATTCTCTGCACTATCCTTAATTGGGACTGCTTGGCTTGTGCAAAACTTCAGTGGCTTATTTTTTTCCTGCAACTAACAACCTGCTATAAGGGTTTAAAGCTACAGTAACCACTCCTGCAATTCAATAACAAAAAAAAAGAATAAAATTATAAATTGATGTAATTCAAAGTTTTTCTGCAGTTGCGTTCCAGTAGTTTAGCATTACACCTACCTTTAGCTGAGGAGAAATTACAGAGAACCCTCTCCCTTTTTGGGAAACTGCAAGAAAAAAAATAGTCACAAAACAGGCTCAAAACTCCCTCTTACACAGTGCAAAGGACATTTACATTCTGGAAATTTAACAAATAAGTCAAATATCTCAGTTTATATCATAATTACCCTTTAAATGCTTAACCTGTGTACTGGGACATTTGGATCAGATATGGAGGCCTTGCTATAGTATTCAAATGCAATTAAGTAACCCAAAGAAACGGCAGCCTTTGTTAATTTTTAAACAGTTAAGGGCAAACTAGAAAAAACGAGAGAAATCTCAATATCCTTCTTGGTAAAATATTTTAGAAATAAACAAAATGAAAGGCCTACTAAGATGCAGTGGCACGCAGTGCTAGAAGGATAAAGGGCTAGTGACATGCAGTGCTGAGATTAAGTGACAGCTGGTTAAAGAGCTAGTCACAGCCCGGAGAGTTACAGAGTTACTGACAAACAGCACGGACTGTCCCTGGAGGGAAAATGGCTACTGAATCATTGAAAGGTTAGTGGCTGGAGGGTTTAATGGATATTAAATGCAATAATATACACAGCGCCAAGAGGGTTAAAGAGTTACTGAAACGCTGTGAAATGTGGTACCCAGAAATCGCAGTGCAGTAAAACAGTGTCTGAGGGTTAAAGTGCTATTAAAATACAGCGAAAGGCAGAGTTCGACGGGTTAAAGAGCTACTGAGATGCAGCAAAATTCACAGCATGTGTTGAGTAAAATGAATACTGAATGTATTGGCTCGGGGTTAAATACTGCCCTAGCACAGTTCTGCCCCATACCTGCATGTTTGTTGGTCCGCTGATCTCTCCATTTTTCTAGGGCAGTTATTAGGTCTGGTTTAACCCCTTCATTTCCTTCAAAAGAGAGAATTAGGGACATGTTTTAATTTGCGACGTTTGACGAACAGAATAAAGCTTCCCCAACCAATAAGGGTCTTGGATTATCTAATTTTAATAAAGATTTAAATTTGTCTTTACAGCGTTTCACGTGTTAAATTGTTGGTGAAATATACCCTCCCAATTTTACTACTCTAACCCCCTACCTTATGAACTCAAAAAGGAAAGAAACTGAGCGCCACAACCACTTCAGGTCACTGTTGTGCAGGGAGTCTTGGTCGGCCAGCTTTGGACAGACAACGTGCATACCGCAAGCAGCTGCAGACAGGTGGACGAGCCTAGTGTTTGTTAAACTGATTGAAAATAGTTTAAAAGAATACTAGGAGACATCACCCAACACTCACTGCACCATAACCACTATGGATGGAGGGCAATGCCTAGTGTGGTCACTAAACAAGGAACTGAGAACAGACAGTTCAAAAGTAAAAAGAAACAGGACGAAGAAATCAATTCTCCCTGTAATCGTCCGTCCAGTGAAAGAATGCGCTAACAGTGACAGTTTTCTGAATAAATCCTGTCACAGCCCACGGCGATTCAACATATTTGCATCCAAACTTCCTGGAAACCAGTGGATAAAAAGTGATGGCGATGGGGTCTGGCCGCCATGCTGACCGGTCGCATGCTAGAGAGGCTCCTGCAGACTTTGGCCTATTTGGCTGAAATTTCGGGATGTTATGGCCCGAGCTGTGAAGCAACCAGAGACATGCAGGAGGCTGTTGGTGCTACTGTGGACACCAAACACTGGAGTAAAGGTGATGCTAAGCTTTGGAGCCTGCGGCCTACTTGGGAGAGGAGTGGGGCAGACGGCCACTGCCCTACTCACATGCCTGGTGCCATACAATGGCTCTATGATGTTCCTTGCAGGCCCTAACTCCCTCCCCCCCCTTTGGACCGGTGGGGGCTATCCCAGTCCCCACTGGAGGGAGCCAAAGCACATGCCACCCCTAACTGAACTTACCCAAGAGCCAGGCATCGAACTATAAAATGGCGACCTCATGGCTTACA